CTCTCTCTCTCTCTCTCTCTCTCTCTCTCTCTCTCTCTCTCTCTCTCTCTCCCTCCCTCTTTTCCCCATCTTTGAAACAGAGAAGCTAAAACTCTCTCTTTTATTCTTTAAAACACAGAACCTAAAACCCTCTCTCTCTCATTTGTTCACCCTTCTTCGAAACAGAGTGACGACTGCAGGGACCCGACCTTTCTCTGCTTTTCCGACGAAGAATGTTACACTGGACAATTCAGCATCACGTGGAAAAGAACACAGAAACCTTATCTGGACCCCTCGGAAACCCTCGACGGTTTATGTGACGGAACTTGTTGCTGTCACCCCCCCTTTGGCCCGACACCCGTCCCTGAATGGGGCGCAGATCCCGAAGGTTTCGGGGGTCCGGAACCTACCGATCCAAGGACAACCCCAGAAGATGGGGATGGGGATGGGGATTTGTATAGGCAGACGACGAAGGAGAGAAAGAAGGAGACGGATGACCAGGACCCGGAGACGTATATCTATATCGGTGTCGGTGTCGGTGTGAGTGGCGTTCTGTTGGCCCTCACCGTTATCGTTATCGTGTGCTGTGTGGTAAAAAGGAGGGGGTCTGAGAAGGAGAAGGCTGCAGCAGCCGCCGGGATGCAAGGAGTAGCCAATGGAGGGTTCGGTCCTGTCGTTCAAGCCACGCGCCAAAACAGCTTAGAGGCGGAGTCGGACCACACTGGGGTATCGATCGTGTCTCGAGAGGCAGAGGGCGGTACTTCGAGTCCTTCGGCGCAGCCGATCACTGAGAATGAGTCCCATTACGATTACATTGACGATGCTTACTTCGCTCACGGCGCTGGGTATTCGATGCTGAGTGATGAAACCAAGTACAACCACGAGTACAATCCCTTATATCGTTCGCAGACTGCCCCGGATTTCAGCCTGATAACATTGAATAGAGTAGTGGATTCGAATTACAGATACAAATCCGATACTGGGTATGAGAAACCCTTCGACTACCATAGGTCAGGGAATCGATTTTCTGATGGAAACGGTCACGAGCGATACGTGATCACGCCCCGCTCCATCCGCCCAGCTCCGCCCCCGACAGTTAGGGGCGGAGTCAGGGGAAACCAACACGCCCTCAGAGATGTATACACCACGCCCATTCACCAAGACGTGACCAATCACGCTCCATCTGCTTTCTCTCCAACCACACCCCACCCAGGAATAGACGGCAACGCTCCCAACAGCTACCTTGACCTTTCATTCAACCCCGCCCTTGACCTTAACCACGCCCACCTTCAGGGGGGCAGGGTGGTTGACAGTCGAGGCCAGAGGTTCCGCCCCCTCAGCGAGGAGGCTCCGCCCCTCAACCCGTACCACGCCTACCTGGAGGTGCTGGCTCCCCTCGCCCCGCCCCCTAGAGGTCAAGGCCGGGTCAGCCTGCCTCCTATACCCGCCACGTCCATAGTTGACAGTCTGGGACCCCAGCCCCCTCTTCCAAGACGGCAGCCGACGTTCCATTACTACAGCCAGCCCGAACGACCGGGACCTGCCTTCATTGACGAGTAAATCCACCCACATCTGAATCAGGAAAAGACAAATCAAATTTTTGGGACACAGGGCCAATTGTTTTTGGATAGACAGAGCCCAGTCAGAGATGCGGTGGGAAGAAGGCGTTGGCGATGGATTGGACACACTTTCAGGAAGTCAAGCAACTGCATAACGAAAGTGTTGGATTGGAACCCCACAAGGTAAAAAATCAAGGGGAAGACCACGAGGAACTTGGGGAAGAGTCACGGAAATGGGTGTACAGAAAAGTATGAAGACATGGAATGACATCAAGCGACTCGCCCAGGATAGGGAAAGGTGGAAAGTGTTTGCTCGTGGCCTACATCCTGATCCAGGGCGAGAAAAGCAATGATGATGATGATGAAAAAGATATAAAGGCACTGAACAACAAGCTCTCACTGGCAAAACTGAAGGCAAACGAGACAGGGGCAGAACCAGAGCTACCTACTTGGAAAGCATCCGTCGGCGGGTGACGTGGAAAGAGTAGGATAATGTAGCTGTTTTAAGAGCATCCGAGCTAAAGATTGACGATGGCAATGACAATGACAATCTTTATTAATCTCGAATGGAGAAAGTTGTCTTGGTCGTCTTGAATGGAGAATCATGATTACCGATGTCTGTCACATTCCTTTCAGTGCTGAAGGCGCTTAGAGGGAAGTATTGAGGCCCCAACCCGAGGCAGAGAGAGACTCAAAGCTCTATGGGGGCCCTGAAGGACCTATAGCGAACAGCAACCTTCGTCCAGAGACTGGGTTGTCCATTAACAAGAGAAGAATAGGACTGAATCATTTTCACCAACGTTTATCTTGGATATCTCTATCTTGAACAGAAGTCGATATATCAGTTGTGATTGAAGGAGGTGTGACTCACCAGATACCTACTTACTCACTTACTCTCTCCCTATACCGCTAGGTACATAAGACGTGGAGCAGTCGACGCCACGCATGTCTGTCCCGGTTACCAGGTATCTGAGGTAAAGTTACCGAGAAACTTGCCGTCAAAGCTTGGTGACTTCCAAAGCGTGAGTGCTTTTGGAAACTGCAAATTTACATTTTGTGTGGCATTGATCACCCTCATGCCCACCCAGCAGTAATGGGTACCTGACTTCGAGTTGGGGAAGTAAAGGCGGTGTGGAAAGGAACTGGCCACCCTACCACAATATTATGCCGAAGGCACAGGAAGTTGTCTCACTAACAAGGCAATCCCCAATGTCCGGATCGGATGCAGGAACAACTTTTTTATCCTAGAATTACCAAACACTATCTTTTGAGATATTTGACGTTTAAAACCTGTTTTTTCAGATACAATTCTTTGAATATCTTGATAACGACCCCGAATATTCTTTCGATTTTGAAAGAGCAGATAGAACATTTGGTTTCTGACCTCATGGTCTTTGTAAACCAAAACAGCCAAAAATATCAGATAAAACTTTGTAATTCTGAGAGACTGTAATATTATAAGTCCGATTACAGCTGACTGGAAGCAATGTTCTGACACACCTTGAACTATCATACAAAAATGATTATTGAAACACGAATTTGCATATTTCGTAATTATATGCTATATGTTTTATTTTCTATCAATAAAGTTTCTCGTAAAGAAAACAGAATTGAAAAATCTTCATGAACAGATCATAAAAGATGACCATGTTTTGTTTTTGTTTTTGTAAAGTGTTTTACGGCGCTCGCAACTGCATAAGGTCATATGAGCGCGCGGGACACACCTGATATTTTCAGTTGGTAGGAAATTTTGAATTTTGCCTGGGTGGCGGCCGAAGCCTACTTTTATCGATTTTAGACACCAAGGGATCTTTAACGTGCGCAACTTGCTCACGGGCCCTCCAAGATTTTTCGCCCTTGTCCGAGAAG